GTTTTCGCCATTTGTGGATAATTGCTCTCACTGTGGTTCCAAAGCTTTAGAAATGGCTTCATAACCTTTTCCAGATTGATAAATCTCAATTGTTCGCGTGAATTTCTTTGAATCGCAGCATGATATCTAGCTTTTGAGGATCTTTTGGTCTATTTCACTTTGTCAGGCAGGTCCTATTTAAGGAATTTATTGATTAGCCTGGGTGTTGCTAGAGAAATTCAAATGAGCTTTCCAAAGATGTGATGTATCACAGTTGACTTAAGTTTTAACAGGGGGGTGCAAAAACACTTTTTCCCTTAACAATAAAAACCTCAATTTATAAACTGCATTTTGTGTTTACTTGTGTTATCTTTGTCTAATATTTCAATTTGTTTGATGATCTGAAACATTTCAGTGTGACAAACATGCAAAAAAAATAAGACATCTGGAAGGGGGCCAACCCTTTTTCACACATGCACTGTATGTCTAAACAGCTTCAAACACCCACAGCAGGTTTATGAGAGAGAGAGAGAGAGAGGGGCGGATATGGAAAACATTGCTAACTTTCACCAACACTGGAGGGATCCTTTAACAACCACATTAATAAAAGTGGAGATCATTTCTATAATTACAACATGTGTCATTTTTCTCACCTTGAAGGCGAAAAAAAATCGCCTCATCATGAGTTAATTTGCTTCAGGATAACTGTTAGCAGCAGTTATGTTGCATAATGAAGTGTTTTAAATATAACAGGGGATATGACTGTAGGCTCTGTAGATGCACTAAAGCACAGTGAGGTAACTCAGTGTCAGCAGAACTGACTGGGAGGGGAGTCTTACCGTCTGTGTGTGTGTGTGTTAAGTACCTTTTGTCAGGGTGGGCTGGGACGTTAATGACTCACACAGACTGATTATGTTTTATGAATGAGAATTACATCACGAGCTGCTTAAGAATAAAGATCCTTTATTTCAACTCTGGGTAAAGAGGATGTCTCCATACAGCACCCTACAACAACACTGAAAGGTTGAGTAAGGGTGTGTTTATAAATGTATGCATGTATTCATGTAATGCTTTTGGTTGCTTAGGCTTCATCACTTGTTAAATTAGCTAGCCATGTTAGGCTACAACAACAACAGCTGGAATGAAATGAATGCAGGACTACCTAGATTCTGGAGATGCATTTTTAACACATTTTACTTAGCATCAAGGTTTTAATTTTGTGTAATTACTAACATTTTAGGATCAGTGCTGAACTGTGGTGGTAATGTGAACACAAACGACTAATTTCATCCTTTAGAACATGTCCACTATTTATTTTAAAAGCGGCTAATTAGGCAGTTTGCCAGGTAGAGTGTATTGACCACACAATAACAGAAATACAACAGTTATTTTAGAACACTCTTCTATAAAAGTAAAGTAAACTAATGTTTTAAGATGGGAGCTTAGGTACCGTGATTTGGGTTGTGTGGATTTATTAATTTATTTGTGCTTAGATAGGTTAAGTGTATTGATCACTTTTGTTTGTTTTTAGGTGTTGCCTCCCGGAAGCCAACACTCATTTAACTCTGAAAAATAAACTTTGAAAGCAGGGGGAAATAAAGAGTAGGCAACTGCTACAACAAGACACACAAATGCAAATATGGTAATGGTGAATAGACTGTACATGTACAGCGACTTTATTCTCTTCCAACCAAAAGCGCTTTACACTACATGTAACATTCACCCCGTTCACACACATTCATAGACTGATGGCAGAGGCTGCCCTGCAAGGTGCCAACTGCACATCAGAAAGAAACTAATCACACACACACACACACCCCGATGGCACAGTAAATACACTGACAGACTCTTTATGCTCCAGAACACATAACTCATCTACCACCTTTTTTTACGTTCTTGCAGGAAATTATTTCTCAGCTTGGTAAATTAATGTGTGAACCAGAAATTAAGCACCACACTGTAAGTCTGAACCACTCTATAATTAATCACTTTTTCTCTCCTCCTCTATAATGCACTTGCTCCCTAATTTATTGCGTAAGGGTTCAATGCTGAGCATTGATTTGTGGTACTCTGCAGAGACAACGTCCGGGATTATTTGCTCTCCGACACTGCAACATCAGCTACTCAACCGGAGACCAGAAACCGATTGAAGTTCACTTTGTCCTCGTGTCTCTTAAGCCTTAATTACAGCCCGACTCATTTCTTATCAAAGGACAGTGGCAGTCAGAGGGAGTGTTAGAGCAGACGGCCTGCTGAGGTTAAATCCCTTCCCTGCAGCTGTGTAATGTTTCCCATCCATCCTGACGACAGAGGACCCAGACCCAGACCCATCACAGGGTCCAGGCTATTTTCACACAACTGAGTTGTTCTTTGCTTCCCACTCACAGGAATGTGACAGGGTATAGGGGAAAGGATGATGTAGGAAAAGAAAGATTATTGTTAAATATCGATAATTACTGACAATTACCTGTTGTCCACTCCGTAGGGCAAGAGCCGTGTAAAGATACATATAAATCCGGCAATCTGTCCCTTAAGTGCATTGGCTGCAAAGAAAGTAAAAAACGTGAAATAAAAACTCCCAAACCCACAATAGTGTGCAACAGGTTTCAGCGTCATCAAGGTAACGTGATAAAGTGCGGTCCCATTCCTATTTATAACATTTTGAGCCCTTGCAGCCTCTTGCACTTAATCACTTATCAGGTGACATCAACATCAAACTCGTGATCTGAAGTTGAATCAATTTGAAATGTATAACATTTATACAAGATAATGATATATTTATGACAAGATAATGATATATTTATGATTTTGTAATGTGAATTACAATTACAATGCCTAATCTAATCACAAGACTAATAGTGATTATTTTAACAATTGTGTGACAAGTTTTGTAATCTCAGAAGCTTTACAAACCCAACATGTACATATTTGAAATAAGATTAAGTAAGTGTCTTGTAGTTTTACTATCTAGACGATTATAGCAAGACCTTCTCCATTTTTAGTTTCAACTCCACTGCAGCAGCAGTGGGAAGGTTTGGTCTCTTAGCTCTGATGGGTGTTAACCTCTAAATGAGTCTGAGGCAGCGGAACACCTCATTACCGTGGATACGAGAGGTAAACACATCCTTCAACGAGGGACCGTGACAGGGAGCACTAATTAACAAGCAATTAAACACTTTCTTAAGAGGACTGGTGAAGGGAGAGTGAAAGAGAAAACAACACACAGACAGGTGTGCATAAACACACACACACACACACACACGACCAATACACAAAGCTACACAAACAAAACCACGTGGACCAGAGTAGCACACATTGCAGAAGAAAGTCATTTTTGTTTCATAAGAGTTATCATTAAATGACCAATCACTGCACTCCATAGCTACCAAAAGACATCCTGCTAAACCAACTACATAGCATCTGTGTGTTACAGACATCTCGACTCTTTTCAGGTAAAAGAGTGGGGTTAGGGTCCTGCTAGCATTGCCATCCATCCATCCATCGTCAACCGCTTATCCTGCGTACAGGGTCGTGGGGGGCTGGAGCCAATCCCAGCTGGCGTCAGGCAAAAGGCAGGGTACACTCTGGACAGGTCGCCAGTCCATCGCAGGGCCAGACATAGACAAACAACCAGTCATACTCACATTTACACCTATGGACAATTTAGGGTCACCCATTAACCTAGCCTGCATGTCTTTGGATGGTGGGAGGAAGCCGGAGCACCCGGAGAGAACCGACGCAGACACGGGGAGAACATGCAAACTCCACACAGAAAGGCTGAGACCACAGCGATATCCACTGGACCACCTTTCCGCCCATCTAATATTGCCAATATTTTCTAAAAGAATGTTTTTGAATAAATGAGGAAAGAAATACACATTGAGGTTGACTGTGAAGATTCTCAGTCACCCAGGCCATATCCAAGAAGGGTTAAATCAAGGGCAACTGAGCTCTTACTTTCAATCAAGTCCAGTTGCCCTTGATTTAACTTTCCATTTACTTTTTTTTTTTCATCTTTATAACGTGTAACTTATATAGTTTTGTTACAAGCTTTCTGTGGCAGAGAGACAGTGTGTCAAGTTAGCATCTAACAAATTCCCAATAATCCCAATAGTAGTCTTTTTTTCCCCCAGCAGCTGGGTTTAGTCTGTTCTGTGTGGATGTTTCCCATGCTAATATCTCAGAAACAGAACTTGCACAATTTAGCTTGTCTTTGTGAATCTGAGGGTGAGGAGGTTAGAGACAGACTGAGAATTTGTAAAAACCCTCCTGGACAAGGAGTTCAGGAGTTCCTACTTCAAAAGAGTTTTGAAAGCCAGAATTTGGCGCCCCTGGTAAAGTAGTCCTTGTGTGTTTGATGCTGATCAGTAACTTTATTTTACTGTTGGCAGTAAAATTCGTATTCGCGATCCCTTGAAATTTTTACTCTGAGCCCCCTGATGGATGGAGAACATATTAACCTGTCAGCACTGCCAGGAATGTCTGCCATTCTCAGAAAATACTTGCTAGAAAAGAAGTCAGTGCCCATATGAAGGCTAGATAACTCAGGTCCACTCAGTTTAGAGTAAGGTACAACCTTCCATCAATGTATTTATCTGCCTCATGGTGTTTTAAGATTTTTCGCATCTGGTGGTGAATTTATAACACACACCATTATCACATTTAATGCATTGAAAATAATGAGAAAAGTATACAGCAATGTGAACAGAAGTATCAAATATCAAAATGTTACCATATTGCTGTACAGTGTGCCAACATTTGATATTTGCATTTATTTGCATTTTATCTGCCATACATTTTCGGGGTAGGAAAACTAAGAAAAATACCACCAAAATACACAAAAATATATTTGAGCAAAAGCTCTGAAAACAAATGTAGTAAATTCTACCATGGAATCAAACTAAATATGTTGTAACTCTTCCAACCACTATTAAACAATTTATAATTTTAATGTCACACTTGTTTGCACATATCTGTGGAGGTGTGTGTTCTGTTTAGTAACGAGTTTGTGTGCTCTGTACCTTTGTCGCTGAAGTCGTCGACCAGGATGACCTCTGCTATGAGCTGTGGAGGAGAGCGGTTGAGCACGCTGTGAACAGTCCTCAGCAGCGACGACCAGCCCTCGTTATGGAAGGGGATGATGATGCTGGTGTTGGGCAGCTTCTCTGCATATAGCTTCTGTTTACAGCTACACCCAGGCAAAAACAAATACAGAAATATTGCACTTAATACTTGTATGGTGGACATTTCACAAGTCCAACATCCATATATTCTGCAAAAGCTGGGGTCGGGTAAAGGTGGCAGCAATACATCCTTCTCTCAAGTAACACTTTCCAGCTCCTCCTGGGGGATCCCAAGGCCTTCCCAGGCCAGATGAGATATGTAATCCCTCCAGTGAGATTCTGGGTCTCCTCCCTGGACTGGAAAACCTCCAAAGGAAGAAGCCCAGGAGGCATCCTCATCAGATACACGAACCAGCTGAACTGGCTTCTTTCGACCCGAAGGAGCAGCGGCTCTACTCTGAGCTCCCTATATATCCCAGCACCTCACCCCATCTCTAATGCTGAGCCCAGCCCCTATGGAGAAAAGTCATTCCTTGTCTTGTATTCAGGACCAAATTTTTTCAGTCACTACCCACAGCTCATTACCATAGGTGAGTGTTGGAACCGAGATGGACTGGTAAATCGAAAACTTTGCCTTCCAGCTCAGCTGCCTCTTCACCACAGCAAGATGAACAAGATGCTGACATACTCCTTCAATTAACTCAGAGGGAGCAATCCACTATTTTCCTGCAGAAAACCATGGCTTGTAGGTACTCACCCTCATCCCAACCGCCTGCAAAAAGCAAAGACGCAATCTGAGGTTCCCAAACAAAATCTGTCCAAAAAAAACAAGGCCAGAGTCTTTCTCAATCCACCTTATTGAGAAAAGAAGAAAGCATCTTATCCAGCAACCTTTCTTATGGTTACACAATCGCCTCCACAGCAGATCTTGGGTCACTGAGGTGACATATGGATTAAGTGCTCAAATGGATGTGTTTGAGCAGTCTGGAAGAGTTCTGCTCAGCTCACCGAAATCCATGTGCAATCTACACTGAAACCACTATTTAATCCATTTTCTATCATTTTCTGTTACAGTGAAAATTGTATTTAGACATCTCAGAGAGAGAGGAAAAATAGCAACTCAGAACAATTGCCAAACAGATCAAAAACGATCAAAAAATATATATTGCCTTATGATACTTATGAGTTCCTGTAATGATGCAATGCTTGTGACCGGTTTTAAAATCTGAGACACCGTCAGTGGACCAAATACAAACTATTGCAGAACCGAGGTGCTAGAACTGACGTGAAATGACAAGTGGGTCTGATCTTAATCAGAAGCCTGGCTGGAGAGTTCTGCAAAGCCTGAAGCTGAGCTAAAGCTCAAGCATTAAAGCAGGTAAATAAGGCATTACAATAGTCTTGGCGTGAAGATATAAAAGCATGAATAATTTTTTTCATTTGATCTTAGTAATATTCATTCATGACAGTGGTATGAGATCTTATGGTGACAAATTATATGACCTGACATTTTTCTTGGGAGGATTTGGTCAAATACAGCTTTTAATATTTCATCCCCCCTGCTGCTAAATGGAGCTCAGTTTAGTAGCACATACAGCTGTTATCAGCGGCCAACACGTGCTCCAATGACGTTTTACAGCGATCACCTTGTACATTATCATCACAGCAAGTGGATGGAACCTTGCAGAGGGGCTTATCATTGGAAGAGAGTTATGTTTCGAGAGAGAGAGAGAGTAGTAAACTGTGTCAGTCGATCGATGTCTGTGTTGAACATCAGCCTGCGTGTTATTCATTCAAATATGAACACTGGGAGACAGGCAGGCGGAGTGATCGACAGCCGGCTGGCTGGTGACTCTTAACAGACCCTGTTTAATTCCACAAGGGGTGGAGGTGTGAATGTCTGTGCGTGTGTGATAGAAGTGTATGTGCTTCAATTAAATTTAGCCTGCGTGTAGAAATCGAATGTGTCGGTCACAGGTCTGGGACTGGCTGCCTTTTAGCCACAGACAACTGACAATCACCAAGAAGCAGACACTGCCTACAGGGCAGACCGGGTGAAGGAAGTCAGTAGGGGGGAGCCACTGGTTGGTGGGGAGAGCAGGTGTGTTCATCTGATTGGTGACAGGAGAATGAAGTGTCTGGCAGCCATGTGGGGCTACCCTAGCACTCAACATAAAGCAAGACTCTTATAATAGATTAGATGATAGCAGTTGTCATGTACACACTCAACACTTACATATTCATTACTTGGTCATATGCGTTTTGGAAGACCCTGATAAAAGATGTTGTCCAACCAGTACAGGGACCAGATCAGAAAATGCCAATATGGGTCAGACGGATCAGAGCTATGGTTGAATGCTTTAAGATGTTGCATTTATTCCTGAGTACCTATTAGCATAGGCAAGAAATGTGTAAGATCAAGGAAGTCCTGCTTTTATAAACACTGATAAAAAGAATCCGTCCTCCTGGGGAAACTGGCAAAGAGGAAACATTCACGGCTGCTTTCCACATGAAAGAGAAGTGAAGGTCAAGTGTCAGAGGACAGTTCTTGCCAGGCAAAAGAAAAGCTGTGATTAAAGGCTGAAAGGGATGACAGGTCACAGGAGTCTGGATAGCTGATTTCTTTCTTTGAGAGAAACTAAAACTTTTGAAAAAGATTTCGCACCAAACATTCTCTCCATGACAAGCTGTTCCCATGAAGACGAATTCAGAGTTGGATTTCAGGGCGTTAAATAAATTTAAACATTTTACTCAATGAAGTCACAGTAGCCGTGTTTCCATCAATGGTTTTTTACGCACATTTTGAAGTATTGCATTAGAAAAGATTGATTGAAACAGCTAAATTTGAAAAAACTTTTTACCCTCGCTTGAGGTGGTTTTTGCCTTTGTCCAGAGATGGGAGCTCGAGTTTGAGACTCGGACTCGAGTCGCACTTAAGCCGCACACACAGTGACTTCAGACTCAACTTGAGACTCATCCTCAAAAGACTTCAGACTCGACTCGGACTTGAGGTGCGGGACTAGTGAACAATGTTTATTTTTAGGAAACTTCTGATGAACTAACTGTTATTCCCCTCCCTCCATTACCTACAACCTGCCAATGTAACACGTAGTAGCTATCAGCTCCGTGTGGCCACATGTGAGAGAGGACAAAAAAACACTGGTAGCTGCTGAGCCATTTATCATAAACTTTGGCTTTAAAACTTCATACAACAAGACCCAAACACAGAAGCGCTAAATGCAAAATAGTCTAAAATAGTCTAAAAATCTAACATTTGCTTACTTCTTGCTTTGGCTACGACCTATGAAAGGTTAACTCTGACTGCCGTTCGTTCTGAAAAGATGAATGAGCGTTTGTTTGCTGCCAAACTTGTGGTGGTCGTTTAACGTAATAATTTATGTCCCGCTGGCTGCCATCACGTTAATTATTAACGTCGGCTGCAAACAGGTTAAAGGTTTATTGTTGATCATGTAACATCACAGTTTTATTTAGTTAACGTTACACTGGGTTTGAGAGTCTGCGGGTGTGTTGACATACAGTAGTTTATAAGCTGTCATTAACTGCACTGCACATTACATGGTTGTGCTCTGTAAGTGAAAAACAGGTTACAGTTACAGAATTCCTTATAGCTATTCAGTTTTATCAGCAGCCTGGATTGAACGCAGCAGGTGATACAATACTCATTATAACCACGAGTGACTGGAGACTTGATTTGGACTCTAGCTAAAAGACTTGTGAGCAAGAGTTGCCAACAACATCATGTGTGAACATGTGAATGTTCCAGCAATGAGGGCAGTGTGCTCTTCATCTCTAAAATAAAATGTTGTCTACTTGTTTTCTGAATTTCTCAAGACCCAATATGAAATGAGATTAAAATGAACCGACAAAACTTCAACTGAGAGGGTAAAATTTCTCTAGCAGTTGAATGAAACACATGAACACACAGAGGACTCACCTTGGATGGCGGATGTCAGGGAGGGAGCGATTGAGGGAGATCCGGTTGCTGACGTAAATGTTGAAGCCATTCTCCCTGTAGGCCTGGTCGACCTGGTCAATTTCTGTCAGAGGGAAAGGCTTCCCCTGTTCACCGTTACCTGCATCCAACACACACACACACACACACATACACACACATCAGTCCCCATGACACTGCGCATGCATCCCCGACACATGCATTTGGATGCAAACACATGCTCTAATTTAGCTGTGTTTACTCGATGTTTAAATAAGCACCAGTTTGCTAGTATGCCTATGATCTATTTACTATAAGTTAATGAGATGACAGTGGTGTGTTTACTCCCCCAGTTGTGGCACCCAAGCGGCCAAAAAAATCAATCCATACTTGCTGAGGATATCTGGTTGTAGAAGACCAATGCAGGCAGTGCTGCTCGTCCATGAGTGTGTAATGATAATGTGGATTTGCAGGAATCAGATTTTTATTTATTCGCAAAGTGATCATTTTACTGGAATAACCAAAATCTGCAACACGTCCTCATACCTCAATGAGAAAACAGGCCGATTGTCAATTGTCCCAAAACTTCAACCTTGGGATTAGCTTTGAATATAATGACTACAATTAAATTTTGCCTTCACTTATTGTATATAGTGTGTACCTGATTTCATTCATTCAACATTAAAAACTATTTCTGTTTTAAAGGCTATTTAAGCGTGCTTCTAATTAGTTGATCTTTTATTTAAACACGAAGTCTCTTGAGACACCTTTAAAAGAGAAACCTCAAAAACTAGCTAGTGTCTCCAATGCACTTTGAGGGATCACAGCAAGCACACACAGGGCATTTCAGGGTTGTGATGAACAATAATTTTAATTAATAATTAATCTGCAGATTATTTTCCTAATCAATCAAACAACCATCTGGCGCCGTTTTACAGAAAGTTCCTGTCTTAAGTTATAAGACAGGAGGAGTCTAAGATAGGATTTTTCCCAAGCCTTATTACCATGTTACCAAACAGTTAATTTAGGATCAGCAGGTTAGGAAGTTTCTGTAATACGACCCCTGGTCTATAAAAGTAAAACATGTACAGTTTCCCAAATACAAAGTTGACTTAACTTACTGAATTGTCTTTTCTGATTAAACCCAGAGAGATTCAGATAAATGAAAATAAAGACTAAGAAATCAGCAAATATTAACAATCAAGACAACCAAAAAATACCTGCATTGTACATTACTAGACATTTAGGCTATAGCACTTAGATAAGATGTATGGCACGTACACACAAGCATGTACCTAATCACTCTCTAACAACCCTTTCCTACACACAAACATTATAAAAACTGAGCTCATTTCAGGAGTGAATCAAATTACACTGTGCTGAATGTTTCATTAGCCACTCATCAAAGCACTCCACGCAAACACACAAAGATGCACGCATGGAGGCTGAGCTATAGTCAAAGGAGAGCGTCAAATTAAAGTGAGCTGCCTTGTTCCATTAGGCAGAAATGACCTGTCTATATTCCTGAAGGTAATAACTGTGGAAAATAACTCCTCACTTTAATGGGTCATTTCAGAGATAAACTCTTCTACTTAATATTGTACTTTCCCCTGTATAATAACTCCTCTAGCAAATCTGAGCCCTAAGAAATATTTCTCTTAATAGATTTTTTTGACTGAGTTACAGATTTTCATTGTGAAGTTTAATGGCCAGTGATATGTCAAAGTCCCAGTTTGATTGACCATGTCCAATGTTCAGGTGTAATTTCCTGATAGAATAAAATGAAACACAGCTAATGAGTTGTAAAGTCGGAGGTTCAGCTAGTTCAGAAGTATTTTTCCTCAATCTGAATTTGCATTTGAAATTTATTTTATTGATATCCTTTATATCAATAAAATAATCCTGTTTCTTTATATAGACATATAGCAGTCTCATGGATTATTTTATCAGTACTTTTGGTTTATGTTAAGGCCACCATTATTTCAATTTAGTTTCTGAGAAATTGTGTTTTATTTCCCTCAATTTGGCATGGTGAATGGTCCTAAATGCTAAAAACACCCATGAGCTTCAGGCACCAATTGCAACGGAGAAAAAGTCAGTCAGAGGTGCGAATCAAATCAAATTCAAAACACATCCTTACTTACTTACAATATTTGGCACCGTTGTTGCTGGATTGACCCAGAACTGAAAGAAATTCATTCAAGCTGCAAATTGTATTATCAGTTTTCTCAATGGCATTATCTTTAGCTTCTGCCTGCCGTTAGCGGTGCATGTAACAGAATTTTAAGCTCTGTTATTTGATGGTTGTTGCACAAGGTAACTTTTCACTTTACTTTACACAGACTTTTACTTGCAGCTTTGTTTATCGAAAATGATTGTTTAAAGTTGTACAGTTGTTTATGTTTTCTGCTGAGGATCTGCTCTTAAACAAACCTCAAACTGTAGTTTTGTCCACACAACCTCAAACCCCTCATTAGTCTCACAAATCCCGCTCATTTACCACTTAAGTACTACCTAATACTATATAAAAGCCAGTTCAATCTGTTACATTTGTGATTAAAATAGGCAAAGGTGTGTTTCCCACTCACGGCCTGGGGCTGAATCAATGCTTATGGTAGAAGATTAACTGTGTTTAATTATGAACTCAGAACTGTACTCGTAGAATTGATTCAAACTGCTTCTGAGAGAGAGAAATCCACTTGGAAGGAATTAAGAGACAAAAAAAGACAGAGTTGAACTTGAGTGCTGCTGTGTGTGTATGTGTGTGTGGTTGTGTGTGTGTGTCTAGATGTCTGTGGCCTTGTGCTGGAAAAGAGTAGATGTTCCCAGCAAATGTGCCCAAACAAAACAGCAGCATCAGCAAAGAGTTTGGACCTACCTGAGCGAGCAGCATCTCTCCTCATTGCTTCGTAGTCGTGCCAGTCTGTCCGCCGCACACCATCGAGTCCCACCTGAGCGACCTTCCTCATCTGGTTCAAACCCTGCAAGAGCACACAATAAAAATGCAAACCATTTGTTCAGCTGCTTCGACTGTCAATGTCAATAACGGATGGTATGCTTTTATATCAGCATTGTTATGAGTTATCTTGACAGAACAGAAGTGTTCAGTTGGTGGTGAAAGATAAAATGATAAAAACACTGATTGTCATTGATATTCCACAGTAAATAAAACATAAAGAAGAAAAAAAAGACTAGGTGCTACTTATGTACCATATAAATTGCTCCAGAAGAATCTATATAATCTATTTAAGATTTTAATTGGTGCAGTAAAGTGCCTGAATAAAAGATACAGCGACACTTGTAAAATAGAAATAGACGTTATAGCTATTTCATCATCTTCCTGGCTGTCAGCCAAAATCTGCATGAGTTTATTATTCTTCCTAAAGTGTGGTGATGACAGCTGGGGGTTTACACAATGGGAAGAAAAAATCTGTGTTTTATTTGTATGACACCAACAATATGACATTTAATTTAATTTCCATTACACACATACATACACCGAGACACCCTCATCACCATAAGCTGTTATTCTCTCTGCTCAGCATTAAAATGCAAAAGCAGCCATTTATGAAATTCTCTCTGCTTTAGAAATTACTTTCAGTGACTCAAGATATTATAGGATCACAGCACAATGGTAAATTAATTAGCTCTATGAGAGGATGCAATTAGTGAAATGTTGTTAATACAAATGACACATCTGACTGCATGGAATACTATTAACCAGGCTGTTAGCTTATACCACAGTACAGTCAAACAAACCACTATGGCGAGCAATGGGAGTGTGTATCTGCCTACAGCAGCTGTTGTCTATTTGTTTGTTTCCAGTCTGCTTGGCATTTTAGACAACCAATCCAACCAGCCAAGGTTGTAGATCCCTACGTCCATACATTAGGCCTACTGTACTGTATGCTAATCTTAAATCTGTACTTTTATACAATAAATCAACACACTTTACTATTTTATACTAACAGGAAATTATACTTTATTTGTCTGCTGTTGAACATAAAATCACTTTCAAATATTTAACATTTTATTGTTAATTTACAGAGCTCTTTCTGGACCACATGCAGTTTATTACATTGATTTGCAGCTGTGAGTATGTCCTCCTCCAATTTATGATTGTAGTGCCTTGTGGGAGAAAAGTGTACAAAAACCGAAAACCAAATTAAGTATTTTCAGTATGCACACTGCTGTTTTGAGCGCACATATTTGTGTCATTTTCCCAGTGTGAACACAATACTGTACTCAAAACATGTTTAGAAATCGTATGTAGTTTGGATTTGGGACAGAGCTGAAGTCTAACTCTTTCCTAGTGATCCTTAGAGGCTGCAAAGGTTATAAAACTGCACAATTCTAAAGTGTTGGACAGAACAACATATTCTAAAGCCAATGTAATAGATAGCACTACAGAAGAGGTCTTGGAATCATAATCATAATTCAAAACAGTTTTTCCTCTGCGGGGCACACATGTTCTCAGCCAGAGTTGTGTGTCTTGAGGACAAAGTGGATAATTTGGCCTTAGGATAGTTCTGGAGAAAAGCTCATTTAATGACAAAAATGGAAATAGCTCACCCTTTGGGGAAGAAAATATGCTCAGTAAATGTCATGACAAACTGAATCCCAATAGATTTTGATGTTTATTACATACCACGGGGAGTTTGGGTCTGATGGTGGTGCTACAGGAAAGGTGAGTCATCATTATAATCAAAAATATCAAAATCATTATAATTCCTCCTCCTCTATCTACTACCCACTATAATTGTTTTTTTCATCTTTGAATTGGAGATGTATTTAATCCTCTGATTTCAGACACCTAGAAGTGAACTGTAATAGAAAGCCTTTGTTACAAGCTGGAGTTTGAAAGACGTCTAACAGCTAACAACACATTTCCGTGTTGGACCTTTACTATGCTAGGTGTTTCTGAAGTTTTGCCTATCCAATTTACAAACATGAGGAATAATTATATAAGAAAATTTGAAACACATTTCAATATAATGCAATCCAGGTCAACAGGGGCAGCTGTGGCTCCTCTCCATTCAAATCTGCGGGGTGGCTTCGTCTGTTTTTCACTTTAGTGGTTCTCAAGCTACAGCCAAATTCTGAATTCTCACCGTATGTAATTTTCTGACCTCTATTTTTGCTTGTGCCTCAGATTTTTGGTCCCAGAGAGAGAGAGAGAACTCGGTCTGTCTGCCTTGGTCAGCATTTTACCTGCTTCTCTGCCGCCTGCCTGCTCACAAAGACTGCCAGCTGGAAAGCCACCATTTTATTAATAAACCGTCTGTGATTTTCCTTTTACTCCTGTCTCGGTGTCTGCTATTGGTTACCCAAAAACACAAGCCTTTGACAATCCTGCGAGCTGAGAGATTAATTCAGCATTGATTTGGGTCCGCAAAAAAAACAACAACTCCAAAGTAACTTTCAAGCAGTAAAATGGAGCCTAAAGCTTTCATCATTTTCTGTTTCTGTTAAAGCTGTTTTGTTTTTCTTTTACTAAGTAAAATGCAAGTATACTATATATTTCCTCTGAATGTATCACAGGACCAGATATGAAGTGAGAGTCCATCTGTGTGTTTCCAACTAAAGGAAGCCAGAGTGGCTTCAGCAGATGTAGAGGAGCTTGCAGAGAACAAACAGTCAGGATATTTAACTCCCAGAAAAGCAGCCGTAATCACTCAACACTAATATGCACAAAATGAGACTGGACACCAAATTAACCCAGCATTCTAGTGGAACATCCATTTCCTCCTCACTATAGAGGCACATTCATTTTCATACAAATCATTTCAGTTCCAGTGAATTCAGTTTAAATTTACTGCCATTCTGCATCACACCAGTGCACCGCAAATGGACTGCTTTTTCTCTTGAGGTTAAAGTGGACACTAAACAAGTAACAACAACATTCAGTACAAGAAATCCATATAAAAGTGCAATATAAGAAATTATTTATATATATTTTACAGTTAAAGTAGAGCACAGTTGCAGTTTTGTATTCCACAAAATCATGTTTTGGTGTCTTACCAGAGATGCCTTTTTGCACTGAAGTTCAACAATCACACAAGTTAAAAAAAGACCCAAAGATTCATTTCAACACGCACAGTGAGTCCAAGAGATAAGAATGTAATGCAGCCTTACAACAAGTACACAGATATTCTTATTTTCAACTGCTCTTTGCCAGTTCTTTTAGTTTTTCTACTTGAAGGATTTATTTTTGCAAACTGCAAGAAATAAGACTGAGTTTAAAGCGAAGTGCAAGGCTGTGTGGGGAACCAAGAGGCCCTCTGTGTTAAAAAACATTCATCAATGTATTCACTGTAACGGATATATCTAACACAAACACCAGAGAACCACAACTCTGCGGCTGTACAGTGCTGGTCACAGCATTCACATAAATCCCATTTCCTCCAGCAGTATAGCACTTTTCACAGATACAAATCACAAAGTGCTTCAAAATAATACAATACCACAAAGTAAAATACAATGCATAAGAAATTTAAAAACAAATGGAAAACATAGAATAAAAAACATGAAAACCCCTCGTCTAACTAAAAGCCTGCTTGAATAGCAGAGTCTTCAGTAACTTTTTTAAAAAATTGACAGAATTCACAGAACAAAGAAAGGGAGGCAATGTATTCTACAGCCTAGGTGCCACTGCTTGGAATGAACGATCCCCTCTGGTTTTAAAATGAGAGTCAAAATAAATTCCCTTCACTAATGAAAACACCTCTTTACCAAAAATGGGCAGCATCTGATTCCATTGTTTATGGAAGGGAGGTTGCAAATCCAGGTCTGGTAATGTGACCAAATCAGATTAAATGTTAATGTCACTATTTTAGTCTTAATGGGGTGTAAATATAAATATAAACAGTGCCTCACCTGCTGCTACCTCACTAAACTAAGCCCTCTAGGGTTGCCAGACCCTTTCTCATCCACTCCAACACTTGAAAAAGATTCAATTGAACTGACAAAACAGGTGGGGCAGGATTTCAAATAAAGGAGTGAATCTACCACAGAATCAGCCACATCATCAATACCCACCTCATAAAAGCTAGCGTACGTGGCATTCACATTATACAAAAAGTAAAAAAAGACAGTAAACACAACAATCCCTTTTCTACTCTTTGTGTTGCTTCCTCTGCCTCCCCGCTGAGTGCTCTGCTGCTACCTTCCTAATGGCCATCATCACAGAGACGAGGCAAAACGCTGCCACAAACAAATTTCTGCTCTGGGCACTTTTCTAGTTCATCAATATTCAAGGTGCAGCATAAACCAGCTAATAGGGTGTGACAAGAGCTACACCACGAGCCATGCAGCCCATGTTTGATCTACATCAACTGTTCAATCGTTAATTACAAAGGACTGTGTCTGATAAGTGACAGGCCTCAGTGGAAATTCATACTTCAATTCAAACATTCAGAGAGGGAACGAGAGACAGGGAAGTGGACAATTTCACCTGCATGAGTGATCACTAATTAACTTTCATGTAGCCTTTTAATGGTCTATTCATCAAATGCTTGCTGCTTACAAAGTATATGTCTCTGGGTGGGGATCAACATTATGGGTGTATGTGTGTGTTAAAATGAAAGTGACATATTCCCAAAATGCTAAACATAAACTGAGTCTGACTATTTCAGCACCACGGCCAGAGACATTTATTACTATATAGTAATTCATCAGCCATTTAAAATGTTGTATTAGCAACACATTAGCTTCTTAACTTCTATGTTTAGGGTAACATAAGTGGCTCTGTTCTGTTTGGAAGAAGTAGTGAAGAAATTGACTCAAGATAGGCGAGATATCCCAAGATAGCTTCACTTTTCACAAACTCATCAGGCATCCTTCATTCTAAAAGTGAAGCATACTGTTTCATAACTCAAACTTTACTTGATGGGGGCACAAAAAGGTTAAGTAATGGTCAGATAATCATGAAGTAAGAGGTATTACTCAGTATAATGTATTACTTTACTTTGGGACAAAAATA